CGCCACTGCTTGTTGATTGTTGTTGAATATTTGAGATGTCTGTCAGCAAGTATTGTGGAGCTTACGTAATAAACTGGAGAGGTTTTGTGATATGTGAGAGGTGGATTACAGTAGGTTGGGTAAGAGTAGAGTAGAGCAGTAAAGTTAGGTTCGGGTTATTATATTGCGTTGACCGGAAAACCCCGTAGTGTTGAGTAAGAGAAGTTTATGATGAGAAGCAGTGCTTTATCGATAACTGACGTATCTCATATTGTTTATTGGAAGTTTTGGTTGATGGATCGCCGAATGTAAGGATATTCATTATTTTACGAAACTTTTCTTATTCATGTTTCCAATTTTATTTTATGGCAGAGTTGAAAAATACCTTAAGGTAACACTAAGCCATTTCGATTCTTTAATTTCAAATTTTTAGTACCTCTCCTTACCCAAAATATGTATTTGTGAAAGAATCGAATAAAGGGATGTTACTATTATTATTATTATTTATTCGTTTGCAAAACAGCAATCGTTCCCAGCTATTTTCAAATGATAATGTCAACAAACGTTTTTACTTGAAAATTCATTTTAGGAATCTGTTGACGATTATGTTGTATTTGATAGCTAAACCACAAAAACACACGTTTTGCATAAAAATAATGTTACGCTGAATGATGAAAAGCCTAGCAAAGAGAACTCGGATTGATGTAATTAACGCGCCGCTGGACAGCTCATCTGCTGTTATTTATTCATCCGTTTTTCATACAACTTGTTTCCATGTAGTGATGAAGTCGTCATGTTAACAAATAAGGCGAGAATACACATCCTTGTTACACGCACAGAAGCATGCCAGTTACTGGATTGTGCGTGCTACTTGCATGTGTGACTTTCTTTGCCAGCAAGAAAGCACGCTAGAAGATAGCACGCCAGTAGATCGCAAGACGTTTGATTTTTGTGTGCCAGTAGCAGGATTTCGTCGAGGGAATGGAGGGGAGGAAACATGCGAGTCATGTTCAAAGGTGTGTGAACGACATCGTTACCAGAAACTCGCATGTGAAAAACGGATTCTTGAACTATAGAACTATTTGTTTAGTTCCGGGCAAAATGGCTCGTTGGGGAGACGAAAAGACTTTATTGTTTGTTATGCAGTATAGGGAGTATCCGTGTTTATGGAATACATGATCTCCATTGTATAAAAATAAAATCGCTAGAGACAATGCTTACAAGTCTTTATTGAAGCAAATGACTGATAACAATTTAACATTGAAATTTATGAAAAATAAGATAAAAAACCTAAGAACAACCTACCACCAAGAGTTAAAGAAGATAAAGGAAAGTTTTCACAGACTGGCATATCCAAAACTAGCATGTGTATTTTGGGATGTCGTAGGACAAGTAGTTAGCATACAAGTTACTGGCCACTGGCATGCTATTTTACTGGCAGGTGTATTCTCGCCTGTAGGACAAGTAGTTAGCATACAAGTTACTGGCCACTGGCATGCTATTTTACTGGCATGTGTATTCTCGCCTATATGCACTTGAAATATTTTAAGCATTCAATACTGAAAAAGGTATACACACATACACGTTTTCAGAGACAACGTTTATGTGGAAAACATTTAAGTGAATAGCATTTAGAAAATTGAAACGGAAAACTTCTAGAAAATGATCGCAAAACGTTTCACTGATCTATAAAACATCTTTCATCTCGCTACCCTAGCACGCTCGATTTTTCCCAATTTCCAACCGGCACAATTTCCAGATGGATAATCCTATCTTTTCGCTTATCCATCACTCCTCCACAGCCCTGAACTTTCAGCGAGTTTTGCCTGAACGACTGGATATAATGTGCTTAGCAGAATCGAGCACCAACTGGAGCTGCAGGAGTTCTATTTGAGTTGGATGAATATAAATACGAGTAACACCTCGAAGTCATGACTGTGTACGAAGCGCGGTTGACAGGCATGTTATACAATATTTATTACCGTTACAGACATTACATAGTTTTACATTTTGCCTAAGTGAATTTTTAAACTGGGCGTAACATATGTCGGGTGTGAATTGCTTAGGCGGGTGAGAAAGGGTAAAACTGTATTTGCTGTTGCCAAACGAAACGGTATATCTAAGTAAATATATTATTAGAACTGAATTGTATCAAAAACGTATTATATCTAAGCATACACAATTAAAATACGCACTAGAGAAGCTAAAAAGGGCCTGGAGATCCTAGAGCCATCTATGGGACAGAAGCAGAAGCGAAGTATTTTTCTAAATTCATTTTGTATTCAGCTACAGTCTCATAAATAGCGTACGTACCAGATCCCTTTTTGAACGCCTTGATATAGTATTTGGTTGGATATCTTTAGGTAGAACACGTTAATCAACGATAACAGGGGTCAACGCCGAGCCAGAGTGTACAGACACTTTACTCCACCTGTTAATTCATTAAACCAGGGCTGTCCCGCTTCACCACTCATGTATACATCACATGTATAAATTACTCTCAAATACCGAATATGCACAATTCTTACATTAACGATAAAATATAATAACATGTGACGCCACTGGAGACCGATAGCAGGCCGCAGCGAATTTACTAGAGATTGAACCGATCTCTTGATCATCCCCGAATATTCGAGAAGCCACGGGCGCGTATATAGCAAGGTTGAATCAAGCGGGACAGGTAGTTTTGTTCTAGTGCTAGTACGTTTCAGTAAACAGCAACTCTAAAGCCTTTTCAAGTGAAATACTCCGTGAAATATGTCTTCACAGAAACGAAAAATAACGAACGAACATCGAGTTTATAATGACCGTTGGGAATCAGAATATTTAATCTTAAACTTCAGTGCATTGTTTGTATGCAAGTACTATCGGTTCCTAAAGAATATAATGTGAAACGAGATTACACTACGTCACACGAGAAAACGTTTCGGCAATATTCAGGGGACTCGAGGCAGGCTATCATAACGGAATACAAGAAAAAATTAAAACAACAAACAAGTTTTTTCAAAAAATCTGACTCTGATAACAAGTGCAGTATTGCCTTACAAAATAGCGCTGGAAATTGCCAAAGAAAAAAACCTTTTAGTGAAGGAGTGCTTATCAAAAACTGTGCAATAGAAATGGCGAAACAATTCAATGAATTAAAAGTTGCCGAAAAATTTGAAACAGTCTCAGTATCGCATCAAACAATTGCAAGCCCGAGATACATACAAAACTTTACACCGGGTGTTTCAAATTCGACCCACTGGGATTTCGGTAACGGTAAGAGATACGAAGTCGCAAAGGGCAATGTCACTGAGGGACTTTCGAAATCCATACCATACCATATCAATCAACATGTATCCAAAAAATTGCGTGACGTGGTTAAAAAATGTAAATATTTGTCACTCTGCCTGGATGAAAGCACTGACATTAGCGAGCTTGTAATTTTTATCCGAACTATTCCAGACGACTTCAGTGTAGCAGAGGAGATGCTTGACCTTATTTCTCTCTATGGTACAACCAAGGGTACAGATATTTTAGAAGCTGTGAATAAGTTGGTGTCAGACTACGGGGGATTTGATAAATGTTCCTGTATTGTCACTGATGGCGCCAGAGCTGTGACAGGGACTGAAATTGGATTTGCAGGACTATTGAAACAAAACAGCATCAACTGTCCTATGATACATTGTATTGTTCACCAAGAGAGCTTATGTGGATAATCTTTACGTCAAATAAATGTCATGAAAGTGGCTGTTAAAATAACTAATATTGTTAGAGGGGGCAATCGTGCTTTGACTCACAGAAAGTTTCGTGATTTTTTGGCCGAAGTGGATGCTACATATGGGGACTTCACACCGATGTTCGTTGGTTAAGCGCCGGAAAGTGTTTGCAACGACTTTCGCTCTACGCAAGGAGATTCCTATTTTCCTTAAAAATGAAGTCCGACACTACGGAACTGGAAAATCAAATGGCAGATGCACAATTTTTAGCAGACCTTGCATTTTTAACAGACATGACATCTCACCTTAACGAATTGAATTTGAAGCTACAAGGAAAACAGCAGAATATTGCCAACTTATTTGGACACATAAATGGGTTTAAGAATAAAATTAAGGTTTTCAAGTCTTCATTACAAAAAATGATTTTTTATTTTTTCCAAGTTGTAAAGAACATTTCGAAGAATATTAATGTTAATATTGATGCATTAGTATTAGAAAACCAACATCCTCAAATGTCCCACTGACTTTTTTGTAATTTCATATTTTTTGAATAAATAAAAATAATAGAAAAACTATTTTTGTATATCATATAGTATAGTATATACCGATTAAAACTTAGTAAAAATGTTGTATAGAAAGATTTTATAATGCGGCCCTCCAAACTGCATTTTTTTTTGAAGTGGCCCTTGGGCCACATTAAGTTGGACATCCCTGCATTAAACTGTCGAACTATTCAGCTGAGTAAGCAACTGCACTAGCAAATCTCATTCATGGTCCCGAATATCTCAGCCCTTAGACCGCAATATACGGGGCAATAGCCCAGAAAGTGGAACGCTGTTTCGTCTCCTCCCAGTATATGGGGCATGTGTACTTAGGATTGCTAGAAAGCATGAAACAACATTGTATACGGTAGATTATGATCGTAGAGATAGAAATCAACAGTTTCTATTCAGCCTGAAGATCGATTCAAATACATACCAAACTAAATAGATCACGCATTTGATACGGTATCGGAATTAAGCCCTCCCCAGTCTAACCTTGATTTGGGGGTAAACGGTGGGAGCAGCTATGGCTCTCTTTATAGGTGAGTCTCGGTTAGCGATGCGCATGAATGGATCAACGTACTTGGCCCGTATCTATTGTTACCAAAACCGAATTCAATCCTGAAGTTTTTCATTCCTTACTGTCGTGGCGAATGAATTGCTCGAACAGTTTCGACACAGTAATTGATCGATACATTAGAGTCGTGGTCTGATCAATGTCACCAATGAAACGTCGAAGAGAACCACATAATATTAAGAATCATCATGGTTTACTTACCGCTGTGGTTTTCCGCTTCTCTCTCTTTTTTAGTAGGATGTTCCTCTTCAACATAGCCTTCAACTGGGACAGGTAAACGGAGTGCTGTTTTTCGCCCATCTTCGTCCACTTCAATCAGCGACTGATCGACGTCGCTGTGGACGAAAAATGTGCAAAAATCCAAATCTGCAACAAAATAGTCAAATTAAAGTAATATCACGTCAGTCTAATTAAAGTCATTGTAGATTACAAAGATTTTATAGGTATGTATATGTTTGTCCAAGATAGGACAAAAAGGGGTTAGCTTCTGAACCATAATGATAAATTGGTTGTTGTGGTATAGTCTGATCTTGAAAATCAGTAAGTAAGCGATATATGTGTTTTGTAGCTACAATTGGTATTCTTTGCTGCTTTAATCTGTTAATTATGAATAGAGCGAGAAAACAAGAAATTTTCCAACAGCTTAGCGAGTCTGATAGGGGCGAATGGTGGGCTTGTGTAAGGCTGAAATGTGCACACTGTTAGAATTATGATATCAGGGGCTATTGCTTATTGTGGGCTACCTTTTGGTGTTTATCAGAGACGACATAGCCGCCATGAGTTACATCTAGGATTTGAGGGAATGACATGTTTTGCCTTATATAAGGACGCTCAGCAATCCAATTTTCCTTTAATATGCGATATATACCCCGAATTACTTTGGTCAATTTTGAAGACAATCATAAGTCGATTTTTTGTCTTGGCCCCCAAGATCTCTCTATCTTTCGTCTTCGGGACGATGGACGAGGGTGTCGTATCTGGTGCATTGAAAAACGGCAGATAGCCTGATGTTCGCTTGTCATTTTGGAGGGCTGTATGTCCTATTTTTGGGAACGGGATTGCCTCATTAATACTTTACAGACTTAAGTTCAATATTGATTATTGGAAAACCCTTTGAGAAGTTTACTGTTATACCATAGCAGTCACGAAGGTAAACCAAGAATACCGAAACATTACGACTGCTAAACAGAAGTTAGGGAAACTTTGTTGATGCGCTTTAAATTACGAGCAGTCTATTACTAGATTGTTCCACATTCTCGATGCTTCAGGGACAAAGGATCTCTCGAATCATGAGGTCTTGCAATGATGAACAGTGTACGTGTGCAAAATCATCTAAAACCTGAAGCGGTCATCTGAAGATCCATCTGGCAGATTTGGATAACAGATGTATATGGATGAGAGAGATAATGTAGACAGATGATGAGTTGAAACCATCCACAATCATGTGAACTCAAAATAGCTTTTCATATATCTAGGGCGTTAAGTTGGCGGTTATGGCCCGTGGATTGAATCTATAACCCAGGGCGAGAAGCGCCGCAGGCGCTTATTACGCCCGAAATATATACAAAACTTTTCACCGGGTGTTTCAAATTCGACCTTCACCACTGGGATTTCGGGAACGGTAAGAGATACGAAGTCGCTTAAATGGGGGCAAAGTTGCGTATTTTTGCGTAACAAAATGTCGCTTAGGAAGTTTCGAAATCCAAAGTACTTTCGGAGAATGATGGAAAAAACTCAATTTTCCAAAAATTAATAAGTTTTTTCTAACTTTACTTATAGTACTTTTTCAATATGATGTTTCGGCCAGCATCAACATTGTTTTTACTTATGGACGTCCCATTGGATTTTTGCACAGATGCATATTTTTTTAGTCTGATTCTAAAAATGTTTGACGTGTCAAACGTTAACACTGATAAACCTTAAGTTTTTCAAAAACCAATTTCCTATGTAGCTCTTCCAAAACCAACTTTATTTTTTCGTATGGACGCTAATTGGAATTTTGAACATTTAATCACTACTAAGACTATATTACTTTAACGAAATATGTGAAGTTTATCGTGACATAAATAAATGTAATACAGGGTCCATCAGAAAGAGCGCATGTTTTTTTTAAACGAGTAGTACAGTCAAAATAAGTATGGGAAAAATTTATTATATCAAAATACTCAGAAATACATGCCATTTTTTTGAGTAACGCAAAATTTACGTTCTAAAGACTATGTCGGCCATATGGCGCCATTGAGCCGAAATGCACTCATTGTATCGGCCAGCATCCGTGCAGGAATTTGGGTTACTTATCTTCTTATTTCCTCCTTCAAATCGACGAGGGTCCGAGGCTTGCTTTGGTAAACTTTTGATTTCAGGTAGCCCCATAAAAAAAATCACACGTCGATTGGTTTGTGGAGCGAGGGGTTCATTGAATATCGCCATGACGTGAAATGAGACGTCCTGGGAATTTTTGCCGAAGAAGTTCCATCGAAGTGCGAACTGTGTGAGATGTTGCCTCGTCTTGTTGGAACCACACTGTTCTGAGACGGATACGTCGACGTCGAAGTTCCGAAAAAGAAAGTTGTTCAGCATGTGAATAGAATAGAATAGAAATTTATTGGTTTCTAAGTTATAAACAAAAAACAAGGAAATTTGTAACAGAGATAACACGTCGTTGTGATACATTGTGTGCAATCCCATTTTAAATATAACCAGGAAATCACGATTTTGCGATAAATGTGGTGCACAAAACGAATTACGCTTTGTTAGTTACCTAAATATGCAACTTTGCTTCCAGTTAAGCGACTTCGAATACGAAAAACCAGGTATGCGGAAGGCTGAGATCAAAAGGTTCGAGTAGCTTTTAAGTGGGATTAAAAATAAGAATAAATAGCACAATTGGCATCGGTGGTTGCACCGTCCGTTGCCTAACAACGAATAAATAAGTTTTCGTGGTCGCCATGTTGCCATATTCATATAAAGTACAATTTTGATCCCAGCCGTACATGAAAAAGGAACATACCATTTCACAAATATTACAACACAACTGGTGCGGCGTGCATCACCTACTGAGATTACGCGGCGGTGCCAATAGGCAGACAAGTAACCAAATAGTGAGACGGTTCTTCTTGAACAACATGCTAAAAGTATTCGCGACCATAATTCGTTTCTTGTGTGGGAAGATAAAAGCTTTAAGAGAAAATATTGTCAGCTAGTCGAGGAAAGTACCTACCACTGTACTTAAAGCAGCTGGTACTCGCTCATGCACACACACACACACACACACACACACACACATGAATCGAGTTATGTAAGACCGCTGTTTTCATTCACTTTCTAAAAAGATACCAATAAATTTAACACAGACTATCGACATTGTAATTGTATATTCAGGGTATTGCTATATTTTGTATCGGAGACCAAGTACAGGTAACATACATACGAGGGGGTACCTAAAAAAAGCTATTTATTTTCAACTTTTTCACAAAGTAACCTTATCTCCTTCAAAATCTTGTCCACTACAACTAATACACTTGTTCCAAAGGTTCTTCCACTTCGAAATATTTTTTGAAGTCTTCCTTAGAAATGTCTGACAGCTCCTCCCTCGTTTTTTTCTTGACCTCTTCAATGTCGTCAAAGCGGTGTCCTTTCACGCCCCTTTTTATCCGTGGAAATAAGGAAAAGTCGCACGGAGCTAGGTCAGGCGAATAAGGTGCGTGAGGCAGCGGAACCATGACATTTTTAGCCAGAAACTGTCGAACAGAGATGGCTGTGTGCGTAGGTGTATTATCGTGGTGAAAGAACCAGACTCCTGGCTGCCTCAAATCGGGTCTTTTTTGCCGGACACTGTTTCCCAATCGTCTTAAATCCTCCAAATAGCACAAGCTCTCGAATTCTTTCAACATTTTCGTCGATTCGGGCAGTTGATGGACGTCCAGAGCAAACCACTAGTACGCATGAGTTTTTCCCATAGCATCATCTTTCTAAGCTATATATAATTATATATATATAACATTAAAACAATTTCAGCAGCATTTTTACCAATTATAAAGCAAAATTTCACAGCTGCACGTTGCTCACTGAAGCTTGAAACCGTAAAAAACGAAACAAACACGAAACAGCTCTAGCAAAAATAATGACTACAGAGGAACGAAACAAGCCAGATCGACAACTCAGGTGGCACAGAACTGGTAATGAGTTGCGGTGTACGCCTCTAGGGGCAGAAATGTGTACTACACAAGCTCCGCCCACTGCAATGCTATTCCGGTTATTTTTGGCTACCTCCTCGTACATTGACAAACATAAAGGTATTTATAGTTTATTTCACGTTTTTTTGCGGTTCACACTGAAACTACCGGATATCACTTTTATACTTCTATCTCCCTCACATACACATACGAGTATATGCAATCTGACTCTGAGCGCGATCGTTTGTTTGTGTAAGCCCAGTCTATAGTTTTCTGCTAACTCGAACATTTTCTCGCAAACGTATGAATTTTCCTAATCTATGATTGTCACTATCAGTGTGAACGCACTTGACATGGGCGTATACTTTATCTGAAGTCACTTGAAATACCATAAAAACCTTTGGTCGGCGCATCCTTTGTAATTTTATGACGTATCATAGGCGTGCGGTCATTTATTTAGAACGATAATAATAATGTTTTTATATCACAATAAATGGATTTTACTATCTTCTTATTTGTTTGATTTGGGATAAAAAATACTTATATTGGGAGTTTAATTTATGTTGACTGAAAGTTAAGAAATGGAAAAATTACAGAATTCCAACGTTTGACATAGGCAAATATTTACATAGCAGGTAGGTATATAAAAAGGTATATCAAGACTTACATTATAGGTATTTATATATCATCCTCGCCTTCGGAGCTGTCGCTAGAGTCATCTTGTAGAGGAATTACAACGGGATTTACAGGAGGCAAAACACAATATTCATTTTCTTTTTCAATAATATGCCTAGAACACTGCTTCCATAGGTCTGTGGTAGCAATATGAGATACTGCATCTCTTATTGTGGCCAATAGCGATTCACTTAATTGAGGGGTCTGATTATGTTTTCTTACTTTTTTTTTAAAGCAACCCAGACCAACTCAATCGGGTTAAAAATGCAGTAATAGGGAGGTAGACGTAATACTTCATGGCCATTTTGCTGAAGCAGATTGTCAACAACATACTCTTTTTCAAATTTTTGTCTTTTAATAAGATCCAATAATATGGCTTTGGTTGATTTCTGTGGTATTTCCATTCCCTTATCCTTCATAAAATCAATAATGTCTTGTTTTTTTGTGCCTGTATTCGGAATTTTGTTTTTCTGGCGGGAATGGTATGGCGCATTGTCCATAATAATCACTGAATTTGGGGAAATGTTTGGTATTAACCGCTGCTCTATCCACTTTATCAAATAAGTCGGAGGTCATGTCCTCATGATAGTCGGCACATGATTCTTTGATATTTTTGGCAGATAACAGCAAGGCATTAGGTATAAATCCATTTTCACTGCCAGCATGGAGAATAATGATTCGTTTTCCACGGTTGCATGGTGCATTTAAAATGCAC